TATTTATTTATTTATTTGGTGGAACCGGGGATTGAAGTCAGGCCTTTGCGCTTGCCAGGGAAGCGCTTATTCTACTGAGCCATCTCCCCGGCCCCGTAAATTTTATTTAAAAAGAAAAAAAAAATCAGCCAGGCATGGTTGTACAGGCTGTACCCTCTCGGGAGGCTAAGGCAGGAGGTGTGCAGATTCAAAGCCAAGCTGTGCCAGTTACCAAGACGTAGGGGTGCAGAGCAGTGCTGGGGTTCTCCTGGGTTGAGTTTTAAGTACACTCAGGTAAATAGTAAAAATAAAAACTTGAACGATTTACACTTAAATCTGATTTAAACTGGTATGAAACATCTTTAGAAGGGCTGCCGGCTGAGGTATAGCCCAGTGGAAGAGCACTTGCCTAGCACGTACCAGGAAGGCCTTTGGCTCAAACAAAACCCAGTATACTATGAAAGGAAAAAGAAAATGAAACTCAGTTACCACTTAACTTACTATGAATCTTTGTTCTATCTTTTTACACAGTTGTGAATTAATCTCGGAACACTAGGTTCTAACCCAGATTTACTATTGGACTATAGCCCTGGCTGTCAGTCGGCCTTAATCTCTTCAGACCTCACCTGTGCGACCAGACATGCCGATGCATGATTGGGGCATTGCTGGTAATACAAAGAATCGAGCAGGACAAGAACAGAGGGGCCAGCTGGCCTATAATGAATTCTACACCTGTTTAACTTTAACTCGACCCAGTTTTAAGCAGTAGAGTTGGCACTCTACTTGCACACCCACTTAGCATACCCACGGATCTCATTTTTGGAGAATGAGATCACAGTGGAATAATGCCAAATATTAATACACAACTTGGAAAACTGGAATTGCCCGTGAGAACCACAGGCTGTGTTCACCACAGTGTGGCACGGGCAGACGAGCTTGGTCCCCTACACTCAGGGCCAGTGGCCGAGCCTAGGGAAGACAGGTGGAGTGGCAGCAGTCAGTGCCCCGTGCTTCAAGCCTTGACGTGTGCCTGCCAAGCTCTGGTGCTTCCCCTAGAGTACAAGGCTGGCAGCTGCTGCTCAGAATTTTTGCTTTACAGCGGGGCCTTCTCCAAGATCATAAGAGTTGTGAGATTAGATAAGTATGCACCTCACAGACAAATATAATTAAACCCCATTTCTAGTGGAACATTAAAGTCTTTTTTTTGTCAAGTGAGGTCTAGCTTTCTTGGAAGCTTCTGCCCAGCCCAGAAGTGCCCCAGCTGGACTGGCAGACTCTTCCTCTTTAATGCCGGTCTCTGCACCATGTTGAAACAGCAGCTGCAGAGACTGTGAACATGACACTCTTAAGGGCTGAAGATAGAAACCTGTAAGTGGGTGGGCATGGTGGCGCACACCCATGATGCCACTCAAGGCCATGAGCCCTCCAGCACAGAAGGGGAGAGTGAGAATCCTTGCCCCACTGTCTGGCACACCCGCGGGGTCCCCAGTTGCTACTGCTTGGGGCTTAGGAGCACAGCTTTCACACTCACACTGGAGGGGCACCATGCTCTTGGTGCCCCTGTGCTGACGGGCAGCATCTCTGCCTTCCACAGCCATGTGCACTGTCCACTCCCACTGCGGTTCCTGCAGTGCCCTCCGGACCTGGCCGGGCAGAGCAGGTACCTGGACGAGGCAGACACCTTCTACCTGAGCCCCGTGGACTGGCTACAGAGGGAGTTTCCAGACGCCACCTCTCTGCCAGCTCGCCTGGTCATCTTCAGCTCTTTGGAGGAGGTGGGTAGCTTGGGAAAGGAGCACTTGGGTTTGTGTGTCACCTCGGGCTCAGGGAGCAGGTAGACAGCGCCATGTGCCTCGGCACACTGCACCCCCATACCTGGCAGTGTCTCCTCCAGTCAGTCCCAGGTCTGTAGCTGGCAGGGTCATTAGTTACTGTGAAGTAATTTAGTAAGAAATAGGCGTGGTGGTGCACGCCTATAATAGCACTTAGGGAGGCCAAGACAGTACCAGGGTGGCCAACTTCAGGGAGACTTTACCTCAAAGTGGCAAAAACCAAAATGGCTGAAGATGAGGCCCCCAGTTCAGCACCAGAACTGTAATAAAACATGCGAACAATGAAGGCCTGGGAGAGGGAGCTCAGAGCAAGGCCCCCAGGCAGCACAGAGAAAGCGGTGCACCTGCATATCCCTGGCCCCGGGGTCTGTGTGTGTGCCTGTCTGCCTGCCTGCTCTGCATGTCTGCACTGGCACTTAAGATGGCAACTGACTTGTAGGAAATCCGTACCTTCCTAACTTCAAGGAGTTACAAGAGAACTGCAGTTTTCTTCCACACTCACTTCCCAGAGGGCCGAACTGGAAGCCACATCTATGTCTACGAACGCAAGTTTGGGGTGGCACCACGTGGACTGGACTGGGTTGCCAAGCACCATGTGCTTGGAGAATCGCAGAAAGATCCACGCTAACATGTCTAGAACCCAATAAAAACCTGTGCACTTCCTCGTGCTGTAGTTTTATTGTTTCTTCTAGAATCAGATGTACAGAGGGTTTCACAAGAAAACAAGTAGAAGGCTGAGAGCAGCAAGCTTCCCAGGTCAGCACACTTGAACCCACAAAGACAAGTGGAAGAGGTCAGCAGAGGTTAGAGATGCCCACCGCAGCGCACATCGTGCAGCTCCAACTCAGTGGTGTTACTCTGTCACACGTGGCGCGGACAGAAGGCTCAGCTCATGCATAGTCTGTTGCATGCCTGGCTTCCTTAAACTACTGCATTTTCCAGTGCTGAAAATGTATCTGTTTCAACAAAGCTAAACTACTAAGTGCAGGTCAGCAGTAAGCTTCTGACTGATGCTGTAAGTACTGCTCTGAAGCCATGATCTCTTCAAACACGAAAATGCAAAGTGGTGACGTCCTCTCGATAATCCCATCTTGGCTTCCACACCAACCAGTGCAGAAAGCATCCATGTGTCTTCGTGTTCTAACTTAAATGCCATTGTGGTTAGTATTTAGGACCAAAAGGCTGCTGCCCCAGTTCTACTTCCGGTTGCCACGTGTCCTCCATCAGTACCACCACAGTTACTATGCCATTTACCTTCCCTGTTACGAGGCTGCGGCTGAGGGTGCGTCTGCTCGTTTGCCATGCCTGGAGTTTTCAATATTTACCATACGTTGCTTTTTATCAGGTCGACTGAAAGCAGTAAACAAATTTTTTGTCTATGTTAGAGTTCAGCTTGTGTAAATTAAGTTACAAACAATTTTACTGTTTAATCTCCATTGACCTACTACATTAATACTTGCAAAGGATGTTAATATAAAGTGTAATTCTGATTACTGGCACCAAAAAAGGGGTAAATGAAAGTGGGTATCACATTGTTTTAACCCTAAAGGAAGACAAAATTAGCTGGGCATTGCAGTGTATATCTGTAATAGGAAGCTGAGATAGGACAGCCGAGTTTTACAGACAGCCCGAGCTATGTAATTCAATTCCAGACCTACTCTCAAAAAAAGCAAGATAGAGGTGTGTGCCCACCTGTAATCTCAGCACTGGGGAGGCTGAAGCAGGACGGTCACCATGAGTTTGTTCAAGGCCAGGCTAAACTATATTGAGGCCCTGTCTCTCAACATAAACCAAAAAAGAAAAAAGCAAAGGACAAATATCACTACCAGCAAGAGAGAAAATGCTTGAAGAATAGCAATGTGACAGTGCGACATGGCGTGGGTTTTCCTTCCACTGCACGAAGCCCCTCCCCCACGGACCTTGACCTCAGCAGGAAGCCGTGCCTCTCACCAAAAGCCACCTGCTCTCCCTCCTCTCAGTGTCTATAGTGGCTACCCCAGCCTGGGCCAGGCTCCCATTGCCCCACCTGGTGCAGTCACCGCTTGGTGCAGGCCCAGATGGCCACTGCTGCCCCTCGGTTCCCAAGCCAAGCTGCCTTTCTCCTTGCTGCACGTTTGCTCGGCCCATGGTAACATGTCAGCGCACCTCAGCACAGCCTTTTTTGTGGCCTTGTGCACACTACGCCCTGTGGAGCCACAGCTCACTACACCAGACCCTGCCCTGGTGTCACCTGTCCCTACCTCCCCTCTGTGACACCGCTGGGCATCAGGGCACCCTCCTGCCAACTGTTCCTCTGCACTGCAGCTCTGCTTTTCTCAGCCCTCTCCCATCCATCTGCTGTCCGGCTCGAGGTCATCAGCCCTCACCTCTACTCTCCCGATCTCTGGCTCCACTAGGATTGGGCCCACCCACTGTGGGTTGCCCTGTGTTCAGTGTGAGGCAAGGCCCTTAGGGCCTGAACCTTCTAGCCTCACTGGGACTGCTGGGCCTTTCGAGTAAACGCCTGCCTGCGGAGCTCATTCTTTCAGGAGCATCACAAAACCCACGCCAGTGCAAGGCCACCTCCCCTGCAGACTGCTTCCTCCTCATAGCCCTGCCTTCCCAGCCCCAGCATTTTGCCATAAGGGCAGCACAGAGCTGCCCAGTGACTAAAGACACCAGACCCGGCTCATCACTTTGTAGACACGCTGCATTTATTCATACATATACAGATGTATCTCAGAGGTAAGAAGTGACGCTGAATGTTAGGAGGATTGCATGTTAAAAATAAAAAGCTGGTGACAGTAGATAGAGTAACTGCAATACGCACCCAGGAAATGTGGGCTTCTTTGTGCCACTGCCCTCGCCAGCACCACGGTGTGGTAGGAAATCGTAGCTAACTACCTGGCCTATGAGTAACAACAGCAGGGGCAGGAGGCCTGCCAGCTAAGCTTTTCTGGCTTCAGAGTAAGACGTACGGTGCCTACTCTGAAGGTGAGCATACGAGGACATTAAAGAGGTCACGTGGCAACTATCCGTTCGTGTAAATCCTAGTGAAACAAAATCATTGAAGACAGGCTTTATATAATCTTATCTGATTTTTCAGATAAAACAATCATTTAAGTAACATTGATGTATGGAATTTTCTATTTGAAACAGTTATAATGTTAACGCTGTACCTTTCCATTTATTCTAAGCTTTCAGAGTAATAAAGCATGTCTCTGTATTATGACAACAGTAACCTTCCAAGACGCTTGTCAGTGGCAACACGACCCCACGCCAAGAGCTAGAAGCTGTTATGGAGACGTGGTTCTATGTAAACCGACCTGGGTCTGTGCGGGGCGGCTAGACTGCCAGCCAAGTATCTGCAGATGTATCCATCCAGCTTCTCAAGCACTCCGTGATCTACTTGATACTCCTTCATGCTTTTAAGGTAGTCCTTAACATCACTAACAAAGTCTGCGAAGATCTGCTGACTATTTGTGAAGAGACCATTAACGATAAACTGATTGATGAATTCATTAAGTTCTTCCCAATGGTGAAATGCATGCAGCTCTTTTAACAAGTATCTTCTAATTATTTGCCTAAATTCACCCATCAGTACAGGATTCACCACCATGTTGCAAGGGCTAAAAGGCTCTTCCTGAGTGCTTTCAGCAGCCTCTCGGGGAGACCCACAACCTCGTTGTCTGCCATAGGCACCACTGTCCCTGTGGACACACGTGGCTCCCCTGGGCCCTGGCCGGGGAGTGGGCTGTCCTCTCTTTTGGTCCCTCTGCGTGGGGCTGCGGGCCTTCTGGCTCGGGGAAGGTGCCTTAGGCTGTGGGTGTGAATAGTCACTAAATACTGGGTTTTTTTTTTCAGTCACCGTTTCTTTGGTAGCCCCAAATCTTTTATTGCCCTTTTTGTCAAAGATGGTCTTGGTGGTATCTTTAAAATGTCGGAAAGTGGATTTAACTGACTCGGAGAACTTTTTTAGATTTTCCTTCACGGCTTCTTTAGCCTGCTTAATTTTTTCTTTATGATGCCTCACAAACTCCTTGGTAGAATTTTTCATGGCATCAAAAGTTTCCTTTACCGTTCCCAAAAATGTTTCCTTTGACTTACTCTTCGCCCTGTGGTGTCCTCTGCTGCCTTTCTGTCTCCCAGTGTCTGGCTTTCCATTCTGGTCTTTGGCTTCGACATACAGTCTTTCCCACAGGTCAGAGCGCTGCTGCTCCAAGCTCAGCTTCTGCTCCAGCTCCGACACTCTTTCCCGTAACCCTGCCATCTCCTCCTCCTGGGAAGAACCAGGCTTGGCCTGCCAGCGACCAGGCTGGCGCTGCAGTATCTCCTTCCGCAGAGATGCCGCCACTTTCTGTTCTCGCTCCAGCTCACTCCGCAGCGTCTGGGTTTCTGCCAGGAGAAGCTCCCTTTGATTAAGGAAGCTGTGTATCTTCTGCTTTGCGTCCTCCAAATGCTGCCTGAGCTTCTGATTTTCTAGGATTAAGTCAGCACTTGTACCTTTCTCTTCCAGTATTTGAATCTGCTCTCTCAGCTTCCCAGCTTCCTCCTGGAGTGAACCCATAGCACTCTCCCCCTTCTCCAGAGACACTCTTAAGTGGTGATTTTGGGTAGCAAGTCTCTTTTTCTGAGTTTCAAGGGACATTTTCTCAGCTGCAGTCAGGAGCCGACACCTTCTAAGAATGTCTTTCGAAAGCTATTTTGAAAGAGAAAGGTCAAGAATTCAAAAACTGAGTTTAAATCTTTAAGAAATTAATACCTCATAAATTTAGCTTTATTTCTACAGGCAGTATTCCTTGGGTATTATTTTTAACGGTATAAAAGTAAGAAAACTGAGATTTCATATGCAAGAAAATGCAGGGCAGACAGCTATATCCAGTGAAGTGTGGGAAGGCTTTAAAGACAAGACAAGCCTGCTAGTCCACCTCCATAGGACTGCAAAGGGGACGGCTGGGAGCAGCTCAGGGCTTCAGCGCTCACCTCACCAGGGAGGCCCTGAGTTCTGCCCCCACCATGAGAAATGAGAAGAGGGCTGTGGTGCACTTGGTGGGACCCAGAACACAGACCAGGAGCCACAGCAGATTCATCCCTAAAAGCCATGGTCCCTACAGAACCATAGCCAAGCTGACAAAGAAAATGGCAACACCTGGTGCACGCAGGCAGGTGAGTGCTAGCAGGTACCTTCAACAGGACTCTCATCAAAGGGCACAGTCCAGATGTAAACGAGCAGTCTTTGCAAAAAATACAAACCAGAGCCTGGGAGAGGAGGGAGAAGGGCCAGAGCCCCTCCCAGGAGGCTCTCAGGTGCTGTGTCAGGCTCTTGGAAATGTTTTGCTTAGTTCTGTGCAAATAATATTAACAACAAAAATGTGTCTGTATGCGTCTATGTGTCCATAAGGATGTGTAAACATATGCCAAATGTCAACTGTTAATTCTTACTCCATTACCCTGCCAGGACACAGTTAAGGACTCAAATACAGATACTCCTCACTGCACAGCCTGCCTGGTTAACAGCAATTCAGATTTAGGATGAAGCACACTGTCTGACAAGTCAACAAGGTGGTGCTTCCTTTGCCCATTTTCTTCATGCTGCATGTAGTAAGGCACGTGCTGTATTCTAATCACATTCAGTAACCTTATCTCAGCAAGGCAGCTCGGCTGTTAGAGGGCTACAGACACGCAGCCGGGTTACTGCTGGGTTCGGCACTGCACCGTGTGCCGCAGGCCAGCTGTGCTGCTGTCAGTGGCACGCACCTTGGCGTCTAGAGGGGGCTCTGGCACCCGGGCGTGCTGGGGCAGGTAACCCATCACATCACTTGCAGTGTCCTCTGGAGGCTTCTGGACTGACTGCTGCCACCTCTGACTCTGAACTGTGCCTAAAAGGAAAATGTTAATTATATGTATACTATTTTATTATTACCAATATTCTTAAATACGTAATACATTTCATTTCAATATTATCTAATTTCTTAATCTGGATCTTAAAAAAATCAACATTTCACTGTTTAAAAATTCAGATTATACAAAAAAATAAGTGATCAAATGATAATGGATGTTAATCATAATACATCAGTTCTACAGTAGGTGAATTTATAAAATTTTTGTTAGCACACACCCCTACACATTAAGCAGCTTATTAGCCTTTTGATCAAGACAAGAAGGCCAGCTATATTACACAAACAAAAAGGAAACTTTGGTTTTGTTTGATTTTTTGCTTTTTCTTTGGAGATAGGTTATCATGCAGCCCAGGCTGGCCTCAAACTCAGTGATCTTCCTGCCTCAGCCTCCCAAGTGTTGGGATTACAAGCATGTGTTTCACAACCAGCTCACAGCCCAGTCTTTTATGAATCCCACAACAGTTAAGACTACTGGAGTGCCACTGCCCTTAACCCAGTTGTGATAAAGATTTCCTGATTTTTCACCTTAAAATAAGGGTTATTTCCCCAAAACATGCTGTTACATACTTCATGCAGATTTAACAAAAAAAAGAAACCACTAAGTCAAAAGTGGCAAAATGCATTCAGCAACCTTAATGTCAAATCTACTGATTGGTCACATTACCATGCCCAAATTCTAAAAGGAAAAGATGACAGAATGGATATATTTTCCACCCTTACTGGTAGAAAAAAAATTTGTTCTCATTATTTCATATCATCTAAGCTTTTCTATCTTATCTTGTTTTTTAAAAAGTAATGTTATTGAGAAACAGCACTGAGACAGTTTCACAACCAATTAGTAGGACAGTTTCAATAATAAATACATTGCATATTGTTGTCTTTCTATCTTGTTAGAGATTCCAAATACCAGTTAGCAAGTATGAAATTCTATATAAGAATTCATTTATTATCCTTAAATTATCTTTTTTTTTTTTTTTTTTTTTGGCAGAACCGGGGATTGAACTCAGGCCCTTGCGCTTGCCAGGCAAGCACTTAATGTACTGAGCTATCTCCCTGGTCCCCATGGCAAACATTTCAAGAAATCGCAAAAGCTACCTAAACTTACCCCTTCCTAATTCCTAGAGGAGGGGACAGGGAGATGGCTCAGTGGAATAAGTGCTTCCTTGGCAAGAGCAAGGACCCGAGTTCAATCCCCGGTTCCACAAAAAACAAAAAAAAGGAAAAACCTAATTCCTAGAGGAACAGAAACCCTTTTAACTTTCCAGTGCTGACAAGACAGAAGGAATCCACTGGAAATAACCTCCGTGTGGGTAAGACTTGTGGAGCGTATGCCAGGCACTGCACTGCCATGTGCATGTGTGTCGCTCACTGCCGACCACAGCATCACTGCCATGGTGTCAGCTCTTGCCCAGCCATGTCTGAGTAGACTCGGGACTTAGTGACCTTGAAAGGTCACTCCAGTCAGGGTTTCTATTCCCATGGCAGGAACCTCACTGCCACAAGGCCATCAGTGATTTTCATGCTGACAAAGGCTAAGGAAACTGCTCAGGAAAACGTGTAACTAATCACTAAAGCAAAGCTGACTGTTCAGTAACAAGGAAATAACCTCTCCCCCTTTGGAAGGGCTACTTCTCTAAAGTGACCTTTCCACAACCACTCAAAGGTCTTGCAACTGGTGAGATTTTAGTGCGCTGTGCTTGACACTACCCCGATCTTTGCCTCGAGCCTCCCTTGTGACCCCACACACACTGGTGGCATTAGTACATGTGCAGCCTGAGGAGGACGCGCTCGCATGCAGCCCCGAAGCCTCTGAGGGCAGGTGGCTTATCCAGGGGACAGAATACACAAGAGAGCACATCTTACCTCCTGGACTTTAAGCCATCTTGACTGTCTTCATTATGGTCACCCAGACTTTTTACAGCATGCTGCCATGAGTTCATTCCACTTTTATATCGCATTAAATACACTACACTCTTTCCCAAATCGGCTCAAGCTAAGAGCAACACTCTAATCTCCATATAAAGAATACACTGTTACAGGGAATTGGCAAAGCAGAAAGTTAAAATATGGATCATAAACCAGCTGTGGTGGCTCATGGTAATCTCAGCAATCTGGGAGGCTGAGGCAGGACAATTCCAAGTTGGAGTCCTGCCTGGGCAATTTAGGAGAGCTTGTATCAAAACAAAAAGTACAAAGGGCTGGGGTGCAACAGTGTTAGAAAGTTCCTGGGTCCAATCTCCAATACCACAAAAATAATGAAAAAGTGTGGATTACATAGACAAAAACGCTCACAGTACTTTATATAATGCAGACAAATGTATGAGGTCTGCTCCCCTCCACAGCCCGTGGAACAAGCAAAAGCTCAGTTCCTGGATACACCATCTCCGGACAGGCTGCATTTCTACACTGAAGACAAAGACAGCACCATATAGAGCCCTGTCCTCCTCGCACCCAAGAGATGCAGTGGCTCTGGGAAGACAACGGACACACGTCAGCAGGAGGCAAAGCAACAAGAAAGGCCATCACAAGGGAAAACTTGGGTGGGCACAATGCAAGTCTGTAATTGCAGCACAGAATCTGAGGCCAACATAGGCTACTCAGTAAGCCCAGGACCAGCCTGAACTGCATAGTAAGCCTCTCTTAAAAAACAAAAACCAAAAAACAGAAAATTCACTGTGTTCATGGTGGTGACAATGAATGCCAAAAAATGACGATGTCATTAAAATTCAAAAGTTGCAATCATTGTTAGCATTAACTATTGAGACATTCTAAATGTAAGTACTCTGACTGGGATCTACGTAACACCAAATTATAATGATTTACCTCATGGCAATCATTTCACACTTTTATTTCTGGAGACATGGTGCCACTAGGTAGTTCAGGATGGCCTCCGACTCACATCCTCCTCAGTGCTGGGATTACCAGTGAGTACCACTGTGCCTGGCCCACACTTCATTTTTAATCATCTAATCTTTTTTACTTTAAAAAATATTTAAAATACATATTTAAAAGTATTAAAATAGACTTTATATAGAAATATTTACCTTTCCTTTTTTGGATTCAAATGATTCTCCCACTTCAGCCTCCCAAGTAGGTGGGACCACCAGTGTGCATTATTTAGCCTAGCTCTAACACCTCCTACTTTGCTTAAACTTTATGGCAGCAGTAGCACTGCCATTCACAAATGAGAGGACTGAGACACAAGCAGGCAGCAAGGTCCCAGGCCCATCGGAGCTGGCACTAGGCGCACACCCCAGCCGCCCCTCCAGAGTCTCATCCAGCTGGCCAGCTCTCTGTTCACTTGCACAGCCCACACGCATGCTCACGCCCCACTCACCATAGAAATGTCCCAAGCCCAGGCTGACCGCCACCACTAGGGCGAGCACCAGGCACTTGCCGACCCTGCCACACTGACGCTTCGGAGGCTCTGCAAGAGGCCCTGTGTCCCGATGTTCCCACTCCTTGACCCAGACCTCCACCTTCCTCCGGAGCAAGGTTCGGCGCCGGCGGAGGCCAGAACTACGCTGATCGCTGGCCTCATCACTGCTGGATCCATCGCAGACATGCTGAGACAGAAATACTAAAAGAAAAATGCTGACATTCAGGTATTCAGATTTTTTTGTTTGTTTGTTTTTTTTTTTTTTTTTTTGGTAGAACCAGGGATTGAACTCAGGCCCTTGCACTTACCAAGCAAGCGCTTATTCTACTGAGCCATCTCCCTGGCCCCCGGGTATTCAGATTTTAGGAAAGCCTTAAGAGAGCTCAGTGCCACCCTCTGGGCTTTCTACCAAGGCAGCCAGAAACAACACCACACTTGACATACAGAGCAACAGAAGGTGGAGAAGCTGGTGTGACAGGCACTACTATGTCACAGCTTGTAGGCCTGCAGCTCTGCCACTTGCAGTAGCGGTAAGGGATGTCCCCAGGTGTGGGCCTCCAGTCCTTGCCACCCCATGCCCACTGGGGCTTCTCTTGGAAGAGGGCAGCAGAGAAAAACTGGGACAAGAAAACCACACCAAAAACTCATCCCAGGCACACCCCAAAGCACCAGCTTGAGATGTTTGTCCAGCCAGTTCAAGAAGTCTGTCCAGGCACGGTCTATTAACTCTATAGGAATCAGCTGGCTTAAAACAACCAGGCCAGGAAGTGAGTGAGGCGTGAAGGCACAGCACATGCTTCAAAACAGCGCAGGACCCAGCAGCAAACCCCGACAGGTACACTCCTCAATCTCTGCGCAGAGCAGCGTGCACGCGTGTGTGTGTGTGTGTGTACGCGCGTACAGGGAAGAACATCTATTCCCACAAGCACTGAGTCATGACCCTCAAGCCGGCCACTCTTGGTCCATAGCTATTCTAGGACAGCACTGCCTCAGGCATGAAGCCTTAAAGCATCGCACCATCCACAGGCTTTCACGCTTGTGGCTGGAGGGCTGCAGTAAGACTTTCTGAAGCAGAATTACACAGAGATAAATGCAAACTGCACATCCCAGTTCCTTGAGGCACTCACATTGCTACTCTCAGCAGAGAATCCAAAGCCAGCTGAACCTCACTCATGCATTCCAGTCTTCAGCAGAAGCTCCAGCTTTCTCAGCCATCCCTATAGCACTGAAACACTGGACCTGGAACCTCTGTAGCAATCTGTCCTGAGGCCCAAGGCAAGCAAGCAGACGGGCAGGCGGCTCCACTAGCATCTCACCCAGCCTCCCAAAGCCCTGGCACCCCGGGGCGCGCAGAGGCGCCCAAATCAGCACACAGGGCCAGGCACTCTTGTGCAGCTGGGTGCAGGCAGGCCGCCACACCGTCAGGGCCTCTGGGAGGGTGGTGGCAGTGGGCCTCTCGGCCAGGCGTCCCACACTCTCACACGGGCAGGCAGTTCTACAGCTTCTCCTACCACCCGGCTTTGTGCACAAACAGGAGAAAGACATGTAAAGCTTCATTATAGGAACAACACAGAGAACCACTGGAAGTACCCATTACAGCTTCACACTGCTGCTCTCTGTTCTCCTCTCTTGCTGCTTTTGTCATTCTGGGCTACCATGAACTGCTGCCCTTCTGCATGTGACACTGCCTTGGAGCCAGCAGGTTATGAACTGAAGCCGCCATAAAACATTACACAGTTGCAAAGATTATAATGTTCTCAAGCAGGCCAGCCAAATAGCTTAGCAGATCAAAGCGCCTGCAAGCAGGCACAGGGGCCCGGGCTTCGATCCTGGGGCCTGCCTGCCACCTCAGCCCCGCCCCCGGGGTGCGCTGAGATGGCCACTGAGACTGGGCGTGGTGGTGCAGGCCCGTGATCCCAGCTCTTGGGAGGCTGTAAACAAGCAGATCACTACGAGTCCGATCTAGTAGTGAGACCCTGAACACACTGTAGACCCTTCCCTGAAATATAATGCCCTCAAGCAAAAAGTAGAAGAAATACCTAATGGTCCATGGAACCTAGTCTGTCCTGAAATCATAACCTTCCTGCCTCAGCCTCCTTTGCCCTGGGATTACAGTTCCATCCTTCTTTCTCATCCTTTTGGGACATGGATAGGTCATTCATTCTTATATTTTTGCCTTTTCAAGAATGTTATAGGGCTGGCTCAGTGAGATAGCTCAGTGGACTGAGCGCCTGCTCTGGCAAAAGCAGGGACCAGGGTTCAACCCCGTCCCCCATGCTGACTGGCCCCGCCCCAGGGGCACGCTGAGCAGGTGTCGGGTATGGGTACGGTGGTGCACACCTGTAATCCCAGTGCGGGGGAGGCTGAAAACAGAAGGATCACTGAGTCTGAGCTGCATGATGAGACCCTGTACCAAATACATTAAAAAAAGTGTTATAAAAATTGATTCAAATGAAAGACAGCTATAAGAAAAATAGCTTGGTCAAATGCAACTTCTAGTTTCGTTTTGAGGAATGTATCTTGGTTTTTCTCACAGGTAAATCGCGTGTCTGCATGCTTTCATGAGCACCCCAAGGAACAGAATACACGCGCCCCCGTTGCGTACGTGGCCATTTTGTGCTGTGACGAGCAGCAGCTGCGTCCAAGAAAGCGAAGCATACCTGGTCTGTGCATTCACCCGAGACGGAGGGCGAGGCGCACGGGGCAGAGCGGCGGCAAGAGCAGCCTGATTCAGCACCGCACAGGAAGCCCTATTCCCAGGTGCTGGAGGAGGGCAAGGGAGATGGTCAGATCATCCACACACAGGTGATGAAGGTGGTGGCTCTGCCACTGGCCCTGTGAGCCTAAGCTCCTGTGACAGTGACACGGCATAGGAACTGAACAGACACCCTTGACAGACACCTCCTTGATTCAGATAACAAGAAAGCAGCACTTGCTGGTGCATACTGGACTAGTAGAAATGGTGCAGACTGGCCATGCAAACAAATGGAACGAGCCAGTGTTAGAAGCAGGTCTGAAAACAGGAAAAATACTTGAGGGGTGAGCACTTGCCTTTCAATGCTGGAAATGATTTGTAGGCAAAATGCTATGCTATAAACAAATGCTGATATACAAGGAAAACATTCTGTACACACCAACAGCCGTACTCCTAAATGTATTTATTATGACACCTCACTCACTGAACTGAAAGCATTCACACATAGGTGTGCTACACTTAGCAGGGTTGTTCACGGTAATGTCACAGGCTTGAGGTCTGCTGAATAGCAATGATACTGAGGTGATTTGTTTCCCTTCAATATTGCCTGAGGCTTGATGACAAAACCACTAGCCAAGGAAAAAAAGGCAAGTGGCTGCTACGCACTAATGCATCTGAATACATGACTACTGAGAGACATCTAGCAGCGTTTCATTTTTGCTGTAGCTTCAGACAGTATATTCCCCCCAAAACCCTCCAAATATGGCATAAAATTTTATGCTCTTATACATTCAAAGACTTACTATGCTTTCAACTTAGAAACTTATCCAGAACTCAGCCACTGGGTCCTAATTCCTATGGTAATAAACCAGACATGAATAGACTTGTTGCTCCCATCTCCCAAACTGATCGGACATTACCAGTTTCCAATTGCAGTTAATTTGCTATCAGAGCACAATCTGATCAGTGTACATAGGAACAAAGCAAAAATTCCAAGTGAAATATTGCAGTTGCAAAATATGGAGTTGTATAGTATAATCTTTGGATTTAATAAAGATATACTGTGAAATAAATCTTTTGCATTAGCCTCTTATAAGGGCAAAGAAAAATAAAATGGTACTGCTGATGTCAACAGGGAAACAACAAAACCAAAGCCTGAGATGGAAATTTTCTACAACAAAACAAAAGATAAAGGACATGTTTTTGATGAATTATGCAGCCATTATGATGTCACTCAAAACACGAAGTGCTGAACAATGGTTGTTTGATTCAGTCTTCCACTTGTGTGGCATAGTTTGATAGTTTACAGAGAAAATAACAAGGCCAGACAACCGTAACCCATGCCTGTAATCCCAGCAATGGGGAGGCCAAAGCAGGAAGATCATTGTGATGAGACCAGCTATTATGGTTTGTGTGTAGTGTCCACCCCCAAAGCCTCAAGCAGTCATGGGCAACTTCTGGAGTCTGTGATTGATTACTGTGGGAGTGGATGCTGCACCTAACTGGGGCAGGTGATGTGTAGGGAGGGACGAGAGGCTAGCTGGCTGCAGGAGCCAGTGCCACTCCCCTTTGCTCTTCTACTCTTTGCCACGCACTATCCTGCCTCGGAGACAGCTGAATGGGGACAAAAACTTCCACTAGCTGTGATCTAAACAAAACTTCCTTCCTTCATTTTGAGTGTTGGGTATTTGTCCTGGCAACGAGAGAAGAATAACTGAGACACCAGTCTGGGCTGCATAGTGAGCTCAAGGCCAACCTGAGCTGCATAGTGAGACCCTGTCTCAAAAAGGCAAGAGAAAAAAAGAAAAGAGAAGAAATGGAACAGGGCCAGCCAGACAGCTCAGCAGACTAAAAGCACCTCCTTACACAGAGCACAGCGGCCTGATACCCACCCCGGAGCATGTGCCTGTAATCCCAGCACTTGGGAGGCTGAAAACAGGAGAATCACTACAAACAAGTCCGATCTACGTAGTGAGACCTTGTAGACCTTGTCTTAAATACACTTAAAAAGAAAAAGAAGAAAAAAAGAAACAAACAAAGAGCAAGTACAGGGGCTGGAGAGATGGCTCAGTGGTCTAAAGCACCTACTTAGAACAAGCTTAGCAAAGCATCGGGGACCGCGGTTCAATCCCCC